CTTTTAATCTTTTTTTTTTTTTTACAAAAATGAACACATTAAAGTTTGAAGTGCACTTCTTCTGAACTGTAACTTGTGGTGTGTTCAGTCCCCTCATGTTGCAGGTTCTGTTCCACATGTGCAGACCTGCCCCCCCCCACACACACACTTATTATTCAGGAGGCAGCAGAAGACAGTCTAAATTTAGCCCCTCCAGACAGACGTCACGGCTCAGTTCACGTGCTGCAGGGCTGCCTTGGCTCCTGCAGATCCTCCACGCTCACTTTGCAGARCGTTCTGACACCTGACAGTGGGCTTGTCAGGGAGCAGTGGGTTTGTTACGCTGTTATACTCATGAGGAGGGTTTTATCTTCTAATTACCGTGTGCTGTAAAAATAAATGACCTTGTTAAATAGTAATATCTGACTTCAGTGCAATAAAAAGAGAATAAAGTGATATGAAGGAAGAGAAAATGTTTATGGCTTATTTATAAAAATCTCCTCTAAGCAATGTGGTCAATAGTTTTTAAAGGTAACATCAGAGCATTTTTCACCTCTAATAACTGGCAGGAATCACCCCCCCCCCCCCCCCACCACAAAAAAAAAAAAAAAAAAGGAAAAAAAAAAGAAATAAGAGCTGCAGGTGGACTGCAGAGTCCTTGGAGGTGAAAGGGACTTTTTGTTTGGTCAAGGACACTCCATTAGCAAATCTGCAACAACACTTTTTACTCTGAAAGCTTCTGCTGTGGTTTAAGGAAYCTGAGCACTTCCTGATCAGCTGCAACACAAAAAGAAGAAAAAAAAAGTCAGATGTTATAAAACCTGAGTGACTGAAGATCTGCTTTTGTCACTCCGGTCTCACAGAAACAAACTGTTTCCTTTCTGTCTTTCTGTTTAGGTCCAGTTTCCCTTATCTTTTTTTTTGTACTGGTGGGATTGTTGTGCTCAAATGCACCAAAGCAGGAAGAAGCATGGTTTGATGATAGTTTGTTGACATTTTGCTGGCGTACCRTGTATTCTCCTGAACAACTCTAATAAGGTCACAGGAGCATTGAAACTACAAAAAAACAACCCTTTTAAAACATCCTGAAGTAGGATCCTCTATGCAAATGTTTAAACATCACTTTCTTTAGTAGCATATTCAAAAAAAAAATCATTCTCCAATTTTTAGTGTTATACAAATTAAAGGAAAAAAATTAATAAAAATAAATGAATACATTGGCAGGCCGGGCGAATGGCCCATGGGTCACATGTTGTCCRTCGCTGAACTATATTACTTCATATTCTCAGTCAAATAATAAAAAAACATGTTACGAATTCACAAAAAGATCAAAAGACAGACAAAACAGACCACATTAATGCAAAATGAGTCAAGCAAAAAACTTGAACAGGACAATAAATTACCYGAGTAGGAAACACATTCAAAGACACAAACTGGTGTTGATCAGTGTCAGTGTATTTGTTTTTAATGCGAGGGATTGTGTATTTTTTTACACCTTTGTCCTCRTTGTTATCAAATCAGAATCAGTTCCAGCTTTCTGAGGAGGAGGCTGAAAAATTTTTGCAGTTCTCCCAGGGTATTATCAAGCTAAGTCAGGTCAAAAACACCTATCAAAAGGTTGAAATCTTCACACAAATGTCTTAAAAACAAAGGAGCAGTGCATTCGATTTAATCTTGACAGCTCACYGTTCTCTGCTCAACACTGTTTGATCATGTTGATGACTGAAGATGAAAACAATCAAGCTTTGATCATCTTCTTGAATCACTGATACAAACCAATCAAACTTTAAATGGCCCATAATTAGGTCAGYTGGTAGTCAGGTAGCTGTGGCAGCCATCTTGAATCTCTTCAGATTGGCTCCAAAATGTGAATCAGTTGTAGTCGTGTATCTAGTTTTACTTTCTGAAAATTTCATTAAAATTTATCTAGTGTTTCATGAGATATTTTGCTAACAGACACATAAACACACACAGACATGGGGAAAAGCATTATTTTTTCCTTTCACTTTTCAGCTATGGGTGATAAAAACTTATCAACTTGCAAACAGAAATATAATAAAAATTTAAAAATAAATAAAATGTTAAGTTTAAAAGCATTTGACAAGATATTGAAAATCAGCTTTGTTTTCCCTTTAAAGCTGCTCTATATATTTTTAAAACAATGTTGCAGAAAAAATAGCTCATTGCTCACTATGCAATAAAACTTCTCAAACAACAACAACAACAATAACAACAACAACAACAACAACAACAAAAGACCAATTTGGGATGGTTTTGCTTGGGAATATTCAAGCTTTGCCCTCATAAATAAAGAGCAGAAAATGCTGCAGCTTTTGCTTATCATGTGTTTGCAGAGGTCAAAGGTCCCGCCATCAACGAGTCTGATGAGTGTGTGTTCAGGTTTGATTAGCTCACTGGAACAGATAAGAGTCAGAGGGCTACATGAGACCACGCAGACGGGAAAACAGAGAGGTGCAAAGTGGACTGCGGCGCTAAAACCCAAATCAGAATAATCTGTGTTTACCATACACAACAGGAAAGGAAGCTGTGACCGGACCTGRGCTTTAGCTTTAACATATTTGTCGTCACATCCCAGTTAGACCAACAGGAAACAACCATGTTATCAGGAGGGCATTTGAGGTTTGCTTAACTGTCCCAGCAGCTGTTATCGATCTGTGACTAACAAAAGTAGTCTGCACAAACTGGATTGGCTTAGACTTTAAAGAGATCTATGATCACTTGTTAGCCTTATGTTATTTATCTATTCTACYAACAGCTGTTGTTTGTGACACAGGAAAACTCCTAAATACTTTAAAAATTGTATGTGTTTATTACATTTTAGGCCACTTCAGAATAGTCTAATGCAGGGGCTCTCAAGCCATTTGGGTCTGGGGACCCCTTACAAGGGTGAAAATAAATTCCAGGGACCCCCTCATAAACCCTGTGCTGTTTTAAAAGATAATTTATTGTAATTTCAACCCCCAAATGCTACGGGAATATATATTTTATTACGTTTATTATG